AATATCGTAAATATGGCAATAAAGATGAGGACAACATTCAGAACAATATAAATAATTAAAATACCTCATCTCAGAAATATAGACATAGTAAAATATAAAATAAGCTTTTTTTTTTTGTTTTCATCAAATGCTGATGTTGGGGTCCAAATTGGGGTCCACAAAAAAAAGGGAAAAAAAAGGAAAAAAAAAGAGAAAAAATGAAAAAAAGAGAAAAAAAGAAAAAAAAAAAGAAATAAAAGGAGGTGGTCTATGGATAAAAAAAAAAAAAAAAAAAAAAAATGTTGAGAACCCCTGACAAGTTCATCCCACAGAAATATCTGACCTCCACCATATACTATACACTATCTTTACAAGAGTCAGCTCAAACCAAAAATAGAGTATTGCTGCCATATCTGGGCTGGAGCTGCACAATCCTCATTTGCCTGTCTTGAAAGAATTCAAATGTGGCCTTGTGGGTGATGAAATATGTTCCACCTTAAAATCCCTTTTTCACAGACTAAATATTGCAAGCCTCTCACTATTCTATCACTATTTCCATGGCATGTGTTCTGGCGAGCTACATTCCTTGGTCCCCCCCACACCTGACCTTTGCAGATGTGACCTGATAGTGGAAGCATGGTGGTGTAATGATTAGCAGCTCAGATTGAGGAATTACATTCACTTACATGCTAATACCCTTGGGAAAGGTATGAAACCATCTCTTCTCCCCTCAGCTATAGGTAAAATAGCAGGACAGACTGGGTTCTAGAGCCTTGGGTGGCAACCAATCTAGGAGAAGAACAACTCTGAATTCAAACTGGATTAAACTAAACTAAGATTGTGCGTATACATGCGGCTGGGGACCACTTGTGAATCTGAATTCATACTGAAACTCCTATGAATTTGCATGTCTGAATGCATATGACCCCCAAGTAGCTTTCGTTCGGATCTGACAGGTTCATTTGACACAGTTGGCTCAGTTGACTGGGTGAATACTACAAAAAGTATAGGTAGGATCCACCATGCCATGTACACAAGAGCGAATCATTCCTATTTTCCTTCATATTCCATTAGTAAGGGAGAAGTTCCATTTAGACAGCTTCTTTCCAAGAACTGCTGCTGTATAGAATAAGATGCCCGGCAAGATACTTTCTCCAATCACTACAATCTTGACCTCTTCAAGTCACAGATTAATTATTATCTATCCTGCATAGCTCCATGGACTTTTCGTCTTGCTCTTTGTAGCAGTCCTACCAACATCACACAGTAACTCTCTAACTTGAGTGGCTCGTGAGCCTGGTATTGGGTGAACATATGTACCAAGAAAAGAAAGGAAAAAAGAAAAAAAAGAAAAGAAAAAGAAAGATGCCAAATTCTAGGACAATTGAATTTTAAAGCTGCCTAAAATATAGTGAGAGGTAGGGAAATATAATGGCACAAATGTTGTTCTGTCAGCACCTGCTCACATCCAAGCATTGCTCTCCCTATTCCATTTCTCTGCCCTGGTGGCAGTGGTGAAGATGGCTGTGAATCAAAAGAGAGTTTGAAGAGACCATTCATGTGAATTTGTTTTTGGTGGAGCACTCTGCATGACAGAGAAGTCCACACACATGGCCTCTCTCATGGCTCAAACCAGACTGAGACAGGAGAGATCTGCAAAACCTGGTTGCATCAGGATGTATGCTTGGTCTGTCAAGATCTGCCTTGGTTACACCAGCCCAACTGGTGTAATCAAGGCGGATCCTTTGCCTATTCTGTTGTTGTTGGGGGGGGGGCAGTTGGTTGTGTTAAGTTTGGTCTTTTCTCTTCGAACTTACTGCCATGAGCCGCCCTACAGGAATTGAAACTCCAGACAGCATCATTCTTGAGACCACTGGGACAGGTAAGCACTCTACCATGACAAAGAATGGCCATATATATTTTACATTGGATGTCAGAGTGAACAGTTCTTATCAAATGTACCATTTTACTTTAATGACAATAACAGAAACAAACCAATAAATAAGAAAAGAATAAAACTAATAATGTTTTTTTGTGTTCAGTAGTTATCTCAACCATATATGTGGTTGATTAAATCTATGTAGAAATATCTCAATATTCTTTGAAATTGACTTAAAAATATCATGAAGGACTTTTGTTTCGATTCATGCAACATACATAATAAAATCTTTAAAATGATCCAATCGTAATATAATTTAATAGTAATTTTTACACATCTGCAAATCTTTCTGTCAAAGCCATGCCTCTTCAAGATCTAGGTGATCTTAGCTCTCCACGACTTCCTCTTCTTCAATACCTGTAAATTGCTCTGATTGTTTTGGGAGAAGTATAGAAGATTCTCGCTACTTTCTTAACATTTTTTAAATTCAAAGTTGTTCCCTTTGATTGGTTGCCATAACAGGGCAGCAATCCTGGTTCAACATCTTACCGAATGAGGGATAAAACAGGGTGTTGACCCTAGTTCAACATTTTACTGAATGAGGGACACAACAGGGTGTTGACCTTCCTTTAACGTCTTACTGAATGAGGGATATAAAAGGTTGGCACCTCTGCATAAGCCTCTAGAAAGTCAAGTCTACCCTGCTATTTAACCAATACCTGGGAGAGAACAAATAGAATCATGCATTTCACAAGTGTGTTTGTGCAAAAGTCAATGATACAGACTAGCTCAGAATTTTGAAAAACAGATTCTCATTTATTTACGAACCTTTGCCTTCAGATTCTTTTATACCATAAATCTGTTTGGTAACGGAGTCTGAAACCTGCAAAAGAAAAAAAGAATTTCTTTTAAACGTCATTAAATCTTTTTTTTTTTAAATACGGTAATCAAAACCAAATAATCTAATAAGCATCATGCACAGATTTTACAAGAATGTTATTTATAACTCTTCTTCTATGTGAGGGAGGTTGTACATTGCTTTCCTCTGGCTCTGACATATATAGAATTGATATTACATAACAGTTTAATACAGTTTCTAACAGTATTTTTGTTTCTTCATACTTTGCTCAGCTTTTGGAAAATGTCTTTCAATAAAACTACCAGTAAAAAAAGAAGTTAAATACCTATATAAAATTGTCTATTATTACCGTTTCTATGAATTAATGTGTAGAAATATAAGTAATCCTGAATCTTCATGCACAAAAAAAAAAATGATGTGTCAAAAATATTGTTTTTCCCTTGACACTGGTATTATTTTAACTTCCTTCACTCCTTGGCAATATTGTTTTAAAAAGTGATAATTAGAATTGTATTAAAATCTAAACAAGATGAAACTAAATTTATATATTTTTTTGTTCTTGAGAATTTTACGGCAAAAATATTAAACAGCATTTAGTTATTAGATTACTTATTATGAGAAGTATTTTATATTTAAATTCTAAAAACATGAACCAACTAATACAATGCAATGTTTATATTTATCAATTTATAAAGAAATAAATATCCAAGTAATTTTTTTATTCATAAATTTATAAAAAAATGTAATAAACTGATAATGACGAGTAACTGTAATTTTAAATTTTGAAAAAATGCATTCCTATCATACAGCAATTCCTTGATATTTTTTTTTTTTTATAAATTTATGAAAGTTAACATGCAATAATGTTAAGAAATAGGCTAAACGATAAAATGTGATAATAGGGTTGAGTTTAAGTATCCCCGCCAAAAGATAAGAAAAAAAGTACAAATAAAATAAAAACAGCAAAGAATTAAATCATACAATAATTAAGGAAAAGGGTAAGATTTAGGAACATTAAGATTACCTCCTCGGTTATCCATCGAAACCGCAATCCACCGAAATAAGGAAAGAAGTCAGTCCCCACCGCGGACCATTTAAGAGATATTTCGCGCACCGGATTGGTGGTTACAAACATCCAATTGGATGTGCGGAATATGTGGTCTTTCTTCCTCTTATTCTTTAAAAAGGCCAGAGTGGCTGTTAGCGTTTAGTTGGAAGGGGGAATCAGGGGTTGATCTCCTCTGATTGGGTCGATTTGGTGATGGGGAGTATGATGTTGAAAGACCCGAAAGTCCCTGATGAACTAAGTCAAAACATCACTGACGACCCCCTCGGGCGCCTACTTAAAAGCGTATTTGCGAATTAATGAAAAACTTGTTTTCATAGTTTGTTTATAAAATGGTAAAAAAAGTATTGCATTGTTGGTTTTACATATTTTGATAACTTTGTATAAATTTTTGAATAAAAAGATTTCTTTTCAAATGTATTTCTTTATAAAATGGTAAATAATATTGCATCGTACTTGATGCACATATTTTTCTAATCTTGTAAATAAAAATTGCTGAGTGAATCACGTGTACATACAGTAATAACGGTGTCAAGTGAATAACCGTCCTTTTGACACACTGTATTTTTTTTTTTTTTGGTCTTTTCGAGCACGAAGGTTAAACATTGTCAAAATTTGCTCAACGAACTTCATGTTTTATTCGAGAACTTTCGATCATCGTAGACATTTACAAAACTGTTACTCACCATCAGGAAAAATTTAAACGTGGTGAATTATGACCATCAACTTGTATTTTTTTGCAACCTTTACGAAGACACCCGCCATTGTCACATAAAAATACTTTCTTTTTTTTAGTTTTTATTGTCTGTCATCATAATCGAATTTTAACTTTTGATTAAATTTATTTATTCTGTTGATTAAACTATTATGGAATGTATAAAATAATTTAACATTGTAAATAACGTAAGAGAAAAAGGATTTTTTAAAATTAAAATAAATCGTGTAATCACAAGAACACTTCTGGTAAATTATTAAAAAAGCGATATCATCTCAAGTCACGGGATGAAAGAAAAATGGAATTCGTCATCTCATGTGGAGGGAATGAATATTAATTTGAACAACAATTATTTTAATTCTAGTTATGAAAATAAATAACCAACATTTGGAATTATTTTTTATTAAATTAAGTGGCTATTTAATTTACTTAAGCATTTAAAAAATCAGTAGCAAAGTTATATTTTCATTGATACCACCATTTTTTTGTGGTAAACTGGTTCACAAAAACAGGAAAAATTGGTGGGGGATATTTTTTGTAGTTTAGCACTCTTTTAGACCTTTGTTTTCGGTTAGAATAAAAAAATATAAATTTGTTATCAAATTACAAGAATCAAAAAGTAGTCTTGCCAATAACCAATGCCATATTGGAGTCGTCCATTTCCAGCGTTTCAATGATCTTTCCATATTTATTTCCCTTGTACCACAATTTTTTAAGTAGACTCAGATACTAAGTACTCCTTTGGATTTTTTTTAATAAATCGAATTTTTGGCGGAATGTTGTTAGACACCCCCCCACCGCCTAAAAATGTAATTTGAGTGCTTACAGTAATTTAAAACCAACGGTGGAATAATGGATAGCGGCTCAGATTGAGGAATCGGAGTGCCAAGTTCGAATTCCAGTCAAATCCATTACATTCACTTACGTGCTAATACCCTTGGGAAAGGTATGAATCTTCTTCTCCCCCCAGCTATGGGTAAATAGCAGGACAGACCAGGTTCTATAGCCTTGGATGGCAACTGGTCTACCACAGAAAGAAATGGCAACCTACTGTGGGAAAAATCTGCCTCATCAGTCATGTATCAAAAGATACATGATTGCCTAAGTGTGCATCATGCATGGCACATAACTGACTGAATGTGTATTGCAATGATATATGTTCAAAGAAAGTGTCTATATTCTCCGAATCATTATTCATCTTGAACTTTAAAAAAATCTTTATAAATTGCCTCATCCAGGTGTGACCAGTTCATATAAACTTTTGAACCATCAATTCTCTTTAGGCATTTCTTGATTCTTGCCCAACTTGCTTCTACAGGATTAGTACAGGCCTCCGTCATTGAGTCAAGAAAATTCTGATTATCGTTGACAATTAAATGCTGAAACCAAAGCGTAGCTAAACTCATTATAAGAGGCCCATCCATCACTATGAATGAATGATAGTACAATTTGAAGTAAAGTTTCCACACTTCTGTCAGCAATATGCACCAGGTAGCCTTTTTAAATCAATAACGTAAAGTCCAAAAATCCATTCTTGACATACTACTCTTCGAATATTGTTCTTTCTTTTAAAAATCAGAGACTCATCAATCTCTACAATAAAAAACATCAATTCAACAATTTCTCTTAAAGGAAGACGAGATGGGGATGCATCTAACAACATTCCGCCAAATTTTTATTTATTTATATTGGATTTTTAATTTTTGCCCATAAAGAAAGCAAAAGAAAGTGCAAAGCTGATATGAATTGCTTGAGAGATTAAGAGGAACAGTAGGTAGAATAATTTATGCTTTCTAAATTAGTAATTTTGGATTACATCTGGTTGACTGTACATGTAATCTTTTAACTTTTTTTTTATGAGGAGTTTGCTAGCAACACTGCCAGCCAATGTTGTTGTTTTTTTTAAACTTAGATCCAGGTTTTTTTTAATTCCTGTCTGTGTTGTTTTTTAACTTTGAAATCTGAAAGTCTGTTGAGCAGTGAAATACTTTCTGTGGTTAAGCAACTTCTGTCAGCAGTGGTCTCATCTTCTGGTGTTGAACATGTTGTCTCATACTATGTACTGTTGCATTCCAGAATAAGTGTCACCCTCTCCCTGGTATTGAGTGAGTTTTATTTTACTTTTTGACTAGTACATTCCAAACTGAGGAACCATCTTGATATAGATAAAGCAGTAAAACTGGTCTTTCTATTTAAATACATGAATGCAAACTCTGCTCATGTTGAATTTTAAAATTTGTTGATGGTTAAAATTTTATTTTATAGTAAAACAAATTATTCAGTTAATTAATAAATATTTGATTCAATAGGTTTAACAATTTTCTCCCTTCATGAAATTACATGAAAACAAAAAAAAATGTTTTATTTCTAAATCTTTTGCTTTAAATATAGATTTTTGTAAAATGGATTTAAATCTGATTTTTTTTAAAAATATTTGACTTAAATGATAATTTAAATCAGTTTCATTTCAATTGAACAACCACGCTAAAGGCTAAAAAAAAAATCCCTTGTAAAACAATCGTTTTGCTGGAAAATTGTGCCACATGACTTGTTGGTAAATAATGCATGCTGGTTCGCTGCCATTATGTATTTTGAAATAAATGAAGAAGAAATAAGTATGTATAATAATAAAAAATATAATTATTATTTGAAAGAAATTACCTAGAAAAAAATGAAACTAAGTGCACAAAAAGGAGACATCCATGCTTTATGTTATTTCAATAAATATGAATCTCCCTAAGCAGACGACTGTTGTTTGTTTATTTTTTTTTTTTTAATGAATTCACCTTTGAAAATTATATTATGGTAAATACTAAAATTAGTATTGTCACCCTGGGGATACTATTACTGTATTACTTGAATGGAAAGGCTTTTAGTGGGATATGATATTAGTTAGGAATACCATTAAAAAAAAAAAAAAAAATCAATAAATAAGTAAACTTTTTCTTATTCATTTCTTATTGTATTTGATCTAAGTAATTGTATAACGCGAGTAATAATAATTATTACAATAACTTGTATTGCAAATACAAATTAAAATATGTGTAATTAATAATGAAGTTGATAATTTACATTATTTACATTGTTTGGACTGTCGTCCCCAAACTTATTGCCATATTCACGACACGTAGCCCAGTGTAAAGCATTGGTTGATTCATCCAAAAGTGATTTCACCCAAAGAGGTGTGAGTTCAATCCCTGGCTACAGCAGAGAAAACAAAAACTTGGACAGTTAAATTATCAAGGGGTATAAACTAAAACTGAGATATCCAAAGATATGGCACATGAAATTAGAACAATTTTCCCCTGTGGTCTAAATAAAGGATTGAGATCAAAATTTCAACAAGTACGACAACATCGTGAATATGGCAATAAAGACGAGAACAACAGTCTGAAGAATGTAATGTAAATACAGTGTAACCCGGATATAAAAGAGTTGTCGGGACCGGAGAAGAAGTCTCTTATATCCGGGTTTGGTCTATTTTATATACATTAACACAGGCTCTAATTTGGGACCAGAGAAAATCTCTCTTATATCTGGATTACACTGTAGTTACAATATCACATCTCAAAAATATAGACAAAATTGATAATCATCATATTGTTGCCTCATCACTGTTTTTTATTATGAACTGCTTTTAAAAGGAATCCAATATGATTATGGGTTGTCAAATTATTAAATAGCTTGCTATATGCAAAAGTTAACATTTTATCTTTAAAGGTCCTAAGTTATCACATGTTTGGCATGCTATTCCATCAAGAAAATATCCACATTTTGAGCAATCATGGGCTGGGTCAAAGTTGTATTCTTAGCCTAAAGATTTAACTGAAGAAGTAATTTAGTTTTTTTCAATTTGAAATTTTATGTTATCACCTTGGTCTGATTACAATTTGGTTTCCCAAACTCACGCCATGGTGTCTCGTCCAAGAAACCTGACTTTTTAGAATAGAACCTCAAGAATTCAGTATCATTCCTTGAGGAAGACGACGAAAAACGCATTTTATTGACCTTTATTCCTCTTAGTCTTACCAAAAGACAATTTTTCAAATCAAAAGGCAGGGCTTACAATATGAAACTTATTCAAGAAATTCATGTGTAATGTAAGGGAGATAAATCTGTATTTGGACTCTAGACATCATTTAAAAAGTAAAAATGGAATACCAAAGGCGATTAGGTGATACCTAGGTTATTGGTTTATATCACCTTGGCGATACCTACATTTTTATAGCAAATGGACACAGTTTTACGCACACAAAGAAACTATTTTAATTTTATATCTCATTGCTGCAAAATTCTAATTAAAAGAAACCCTCTCTCTTTTTTTTTGCACACGGGATCTATTTTTATTTTTACATTTTTTAGGGAGATTTTTCGCCGTTACAAGTTCTGTGGTCCATGCTGAAACGTGTGATGTCATCAAAACAAAATATTCGCAGAATTCACAACCACATGCAGTCAGGAAAATTTAAATCTCTTATTAAGTTTTCAAATAATGAAGAAGAATTAATTCTTTGCTTTACTTGTCTTTGTTACTTCCAAAAATGTGTTTCGATTATTGCAAGGACTCGATTTTTTGTTTATTCGTTAATTAATGCAAATGGATGGGAATTTTTCGCATATTTTTGGTGACGAGTGACGACACAAATATTTCAGGACGGACCACAATATTTAAGTTGGAATTTATTGAAATTTTTTTGCAGGTTGAAAAAATATATATAATGACTTTTTAAATGTTTTCAATAAATTCCATAAGTAAAAAAATAGGTTTATTTTTTCTTCTTTTCTTCAAGAAGTTGTAGTTTTGTTTTGTGCAATTTTTAAACTTAATTCCCAGGCAAAAAGTATTTTAAAAGAATTTTGTCAAAATCATGAATTTAAGTTTTTTGTTTAGTAAGGAGGAAGGTATTTTTTTTATTTTTTTAAAAAAATAGGGGTGGGGAATTTTTTTTAATTTAAAAAAAAAGTTTAGTATTTTTATTTGTCAAAAGAAAAATTACCCCAATTTCTCACCCAAAAAGTTACTAATGTTCTTGAAACAGAAAAAACAGATCGAACGTTACAAACTTGCTCATATTTCGCCTAGGAATCTCTTTCCTAAGACAAAAAATAATCTTATTACTTAACGATATACAAAAAGGAACAATTTAATAAAAAATATAATAAAAATAAACAGCAAAATCAACACAAAGCCAAAAAATATTCATAAAAAATAGACAAATGAAACTTTTAAATGTCACCCTCACAAAAAAAATACATTACTGGCTCTAAATACGGGGATCGCTCCATAATTAAAATTACCTACAAAACGACTCCCCCACTTTGTGACCATTTCGATTACCTGTTATAGCATTTTTCCTATACATGAAAAAAGGCAAGGTCTGGTATTTTTCCTGCGTATTGGCAAGAAAAAGAAACGAAGGTGGAACTTACTTGGACAAGGAAAGCTCCTTGTTTTTCATCTTCTTCGACTATTATCCGTCGGGTACTACCGGAAGCGCCCATATTTTCGTTCCGGCCGTCCTAAAACCGGCTGCTGACCTTGAGAGGCTCAACACAAACCCAACAAGGAGGAGCGAGAGACACGACATCGGCTGACAAAACCGGTGGATTCTTTTGGCTTTACACCGGTGGTTACCACCCAGAAACATGCATAGTTATGTGGATAGTGTTGATATTAAGTTAACGCTCCAAAACAATTGGTAAAGAAAGATTAAGTTAAACTAAAATTATTTTGTCGAGTTAATTTGTCCTGTTCGTTATGAAAACATTTTATTTTCTTTGAGACTTTCAAGAAAGTGAAAGAAACCGAAATAGTTTTAAGGGATTTTATTTACAAGGCATAATGCCAAAATTGACCCTGACTTTGTGTCCAATATTATTACTTCCACTATTGAAATTTTTAAAAAATATACTAAGTGTCCGTTTTTTGATTTCTGTGCCATTTTTATGCAAATATTTTTAAGTATGAAAGTTTTAAAAGAAAATTAGGGTTTTCGAAACAATATGAATGCATAACTTTATGTTTTTGGTAGTTTTAGGCTTCCGTACTTTAAAATAAACGGAAAATGGACTGCTACTTTCATAAAGAAAAGAACACAAGAAAAAAGTAATGATCCATTTTAGCTTTAAAAACTGTCATTTTGGACTCCACCACAAGACCTTTTAAAAATTTACTTTCCGAAGGTCATATTCATTTTTAAACATATAAAAAGACATAAAAGTATTTTTTCGGCGCTATTACACTTTCGCACCCCCATTGGATAGGGTTTTTTTTTTTACAAATATTGGTTTTGTTTTTCAAGATTTATATTTTAATTTAGATATTATAATTAACAATAACAAACAGAACTATTTTCAGATTATTGTACCTGGAAGGTGCGAAAGTGTAATATTGCCTATTTTTCAACAAAATAGTTTATTTTTTATTACTTTAAAAAACGTTATTTTTTAGTGGATACCCATATTTAAACATTTTCGTCTACCGACGTTGGATCTAACAATGATTTCGCCTGCCCAGGGAAGGTTCGAATCCTGCAGAGAGCACATATTTTTCTTTAATAAGATTTCTCAAATATTCAGGCCAGTAAACGAAAAATAATAAATACACTGTTTAAACGAAGTGTCTGCTCAAATATGGGTATCTACAAAAAATAACATTTATTAAAGTAATAAAATCTGTTGGTTTAAATAAATAATAATCCATTATGTCTAAAAGTTTTGGTGAGTGCTGCCATAATCCTTGCTTTCAGTTCATCTTTGGTGTTAAAAGGAGTTCTGTTGGTCTCTTGGTACCCCACACATAATAATCAAGAGGGTTGCCTTCTGAGAGTTAGGTAACCAGATGTAGGGGTTGATGTGGTTGCAGAATTGTCCAACAGCCATGACTATGTTCTCCTGCCTATGTGTCATGATGCAGAGTCCTGTTGCCAGACATAGGGTCTTCCAGAAGCCACCCTCTTGACCCAGAGCAGCTCTACCTCCTTGATGTAGGCCTCTGTTGAGTCTGAGGCCCTGTGGGAAGATGAATGGAGGCATAATGTCACCATCACTAGTGATCACTCCAAACACATTTGTAATCACCATTAGATGCATCCAACTCTTTCTGAATCTTCTGCACTGTCCTCAGATTGACACACAAACACTTTGAAATGTTTGTATTGGAGCTTCTGGCATGAATGCTAAGCAGTATGCCATTTCCAAATTTCTGGCGGAATGAATTGCGTCATGGCGCTCTTTTTCTCAACGGTGATCAACTGACCCGACTATACTGTGCAGTTGACAAAAACAATGAGCATTTGCAAAATAAAAAATATAAAATGGCGACAGTTTACCCATCACTCCCTGTACGTGGTGAGGGTTTGGAAGTAGAACCTCTGATTTGATAACATTTTGGCAGTCTTATGCTAATTGAATATATTTTAATAAGATAAATTATATTTAATGTTATTTTTTTTTAGATACCCATATTATATTTAATTTATCGTAATGAAAATATTTTTTCTTTAATCATTTCACTCCAAGCATGGCAATAAAGCCAGTAACATGCAAAGGGTCACTGCAAAATAATATAAGAAAAAGAAAACAATTATTAAAGAGAGAGAACAATAAAAGAACAAGAATTAAGAAGACAGAAGATAATGATTGACATTGCATTTAAACTTTTTAAGATTGAGGTTGACTAGGAAGCAGAAAACCAGAAGAAAGTTCCACAAGCAAGAAGTGAGAGAACAGAATCTGTTAGTCATTTCAACTGTAAAATTATGTGACCTTGCCAACAATCTACTACTGCACTTAAATTCATAAAGTATAGGTATCATTGTGCAAAGTTCATCAAAAGAATTACCATGAAAATGCACAGGGAAGTTCCATTACAACAATGGGAAAGTAACTGAAGCTGAGATGCCAAGTCAGGACTAGTTGCAGACCAATATTTTTGTGGCCCTCGTGCTTGAACAGATAGATGTGGGGGTCCCTTCACAACTAGCAACAATAGTTTCAAGGATCAAACTATCAAAATGAAAGCTATGAATAAATTCTGGCAAGCTCTATGACTCCCTATAGCTGATGTTTGGGTGCTGCAAGCTCTAAAGAAAATTTTGAAATTTGACCAATTACAGGGTAATTTTGAGGCCATATGAAATGCATATTAGAGCATCTTCTAAGGCCAACATTAACTACTTCAAACAATTGGCTTATGATTCTATCACTAAAATAGTCTTATTTTAATAACAAACATTTTTTTAAAAAATGATCAACTTTGTTGAAAAATTCATTTATTAAAAAAAGTTGCTTCTGGGGCCCCTCTGAGATTAGGGTCCCTGAAGATTAAGCTTCATTAATTTCATAGTAGATATATCACTGGTCAGGACTGATAACATTGCAGATTCTTCTTTGTATTTTATCAAGAATCTCTAATTACACAGAGGAATCATCAGACTGGATGTGACAGCAATATTCGGTGCATGGATGAATGGTAGACTTATAAATGTGTAAAATAGATTCTGACAAGAAAAATTATCTAACACAACACAATGAACCAACTTTTCCTAGCAACCAATTTAAACCCTGCCAATAGAATTCTTAATTTACAACAAGTAAATAATACTTATTAACCAGAAGGCAAAAGAATTGAAAACTCCTAGCCAGCAGATTGAGGTGTACTGCAAATAATAGACATTTTATGAACTTCACACCAGAAGCCAGGTGCACCATGGGTTTGACATGGGATTGCTCCCAGCCAGTGAATAAGGAAGCCTGTGACCTCACACCTGCATCTGGTTTACAGACATGGGAATGATTCTGTAATACACATGGTTATATATAAGCAACCATGACTGGCCATCTCTCAGACATGGCAGATACAGAATTTAAGGTCCACACATCTGTCCAGGGGGGTGGGGGCACTTGACATTCGCATTGGGAAAGAGTAACTGTTTGTGTCTCGGGATAACTAATCTAATTCTTATTTAGTATAGCACAGTTATTGCTCTCCCCTGTTTCCACTGGGTCTTGGTCTGCATTACCTGGCCCAGGGATTGAACTCAAAATTATTATGCCACTAAATTCATGAGCCAACACCTTAATCCACTTGGGTATTGTCCTGTGGAACAAGAAATATCTACAGATTACATAAAATGTTCCCTGACAGTTAAACATATTGACAAGCAATGGATGAAGGCCAAAAGGTACAATGAATAAAATTTTGTGATAATAACAAGAAAGACGAGTACAATTGTCTAAGTGTAAATAAACACAGAAATATTAAGTAAGTCATGTCCACTTCTTGACTAATGAAAACTTAATGATAATGGCTGACAATGCTTCATCTAATAAAAATTAATGATCAAAATTTGATGATCAAAATTTAATAATGGCTGACAATTCTTCATCTAATTAATTACAATGAACATAAATACTAGCCAAACATTAATAATAATGGTTGACAAGGCTTCATCTAATAAAAAATGAAGATGAAAGTAAACTCTAGTCAAAATTTAACATTAATGACTAACAAGGCTTCATCTAATACAAGATGAAAGTAAATTCTAGTCAAACATTACTAATAATAGCTGACAATGCTTCATGTATTAAATTAGGAAGATGAAAGAAAATATTATTCAAAAATTAATAATGTGTTGCAGATTTGAATCAACCTACAACAAAGAAAAAGCTGATAAAGGTGTTTAAATATAAAAAATATAAGATAATTTTTTTTTCAACTAAATTTTTCTTAGTGTGTGTGAATGTTAAAGTTCTTATATTTGTCAGGATACCGTCCTTTCCTTCTTCTTGTTTTCCAAGAAATAAATGTGATTTCTTTATGCATATGTGTGAGAAAGAAGAGGTGAGGAAGAAAGTGTAAGCGTCCTGTAGCTTGATCAGGAAAATGGATGAATGTGTAAGAGAATTTCTTTTAAGCAGAGTGTCATAACCTGTTGCAGTTGTCACTCCTTAATGGTTTGTCTGTTTAGAAACTTTGGTTAAATACCCTTCAAAGGGATCACTAAGCATGTTTTTTATTGTTGATATGAACGTGACCAATTTGTTGAAAAATGTTAATTATTTATTTTCAAAGCATTAATTTATTAACCGGAACAATTTGCAATCCTCCCACTCAGAAAACATATTTTTGTCATTTGAAGTTCTCTTGGTGATTATTTTTGTCTTCACTCCACAAATGGCTGACAATGCTTCATCTTATAGAAAATGAAGATGAAAGTAAAAACTAGTCAAAAATTAATAATAATGACTGACAACGCTTCATCTAATAAAAAAGACGATGAAAGTAAACCCTAGTCAAAAATGAATAATAATGGGTGACAATGCTTTGTCTAATAAAAAAATGAAGATGAGAGTAAATACTAGTTAAAAATTAATAATAATGGCTGACAATGTTTCATCTCATAAAAAATGATGATGAAAGTAAATACTAATCACAAAATAATAATAGCTGACAATGCTTCATCTAATAAAAATGAAAACCATCATTAGTCTGAAAAAAT